TCCCTTGCCGTACACCGTAGGCCCAAATATTGTTCGAGCAATATGAAGCCCAGAGGGTGTCTTTATAGTATGACTTGGACCTGAGACCAACTCGTGGTAGTAGTCTAGGCCGACTAGGATATGAGGAGTTTGAAGCTCCCCTCTTAACTTGGAGTTTGAGAGACATATATTGTTCTCCTTTAAGAATTCGATGTCGGCATTAGTCAGCTTGACACTAGGAAAGCCATTCGTGAGTACCGGCTTTGTCTGAACTCTCAATTCTAACTCCTCGCCGAATGCAGTAGATACTTTTGTTGTAACTACATGGCTTTCGAAATTCTCTATGTGGCCTCCAATTCCTGACATAGTACAGATTTCTGTAGTCAGTTTTGGGAGTCCGAATTGATCGGCCACTCTTTCTGTTATCACGGTCTTTTGTGCCCCAGAATCGAAGAAAAAGAGGACTTTTTCGTAGGCTTGCTTCTTTGAATTCCACAGATTTCCTTCAGCAGTCATTAGAACTAGCTGAGAGGTGGCATGGTTCCCATCTGCAGTGGGAGGAAGCTCAGCTTCTAGTCGCATGTGGGTGTTGTTATAAGACCTTCTTTGGTTATTGTTGCCGTTATGAGGTCCAAAACCGTTGCTGTTGTTCGCACCTTGGCCGCGTTGCGGTCTGAAAGGGCTGTTCTGCATGAGTATTCCTTTGATTGGAAATAGGAGCATTGGTTTCCTCCCTATTGTATCTAGGGTTAGGATTCCGGAAGGTATTTTGCCCCATTGACCCGCGTTGGCCGCTTTGGTCTTTCTTGGTGCACAACGTATAATGGTGTTTCTGACCGCATCGAATGCAGTCTGTCTTTTGACAATCGAAACTGTTATGCTCCGACGAAAAACATTTCCAACACCGCCTTTTTTCTTTTACTATTTGGCGACGAGTACTTTGGTCTGTGACCGTTCGACATGCCTGCGATAGGTGATTGCCCTTGGTGCAGAATATGCAGTCTTCGCTGTAGTGAGGTCGCCTCTGGTTAAATGAGTGGCCCTTGTTGGCACCTGCATAGCCTCTTTCGCGTGCACCTGCATAGCCTGGTTGGCGACCTGCATAGCCTGGTTCGCGTGCACCTGCGTAGCCTGGTTCGCGTTCTATGGTACTGCCTAGTCTGTTCTCGACATAGCATTTAGCACCGATCTCCTTTTTGAGATTTATTAGAAGCTCCTTAATAGGCTGATTAGATGTTGATTGGCTTGAAATTAGGATTGGCTTCACTATTTCCCGCGGAAATTTAGCCAGAATAGTCTCACACCACATTGGATCACACGTTTTTCTCACGTCGTATCCAGCGGATACCATCTGATTAACTAGGACCTGAATTTGGTCGTAAGTCATGGAGCAACTTTCTGCAAATTCAGTGGCTGGCTTAAGTGAGACCAATTTCTGTATGATTTGCGACCTGTTGGCACTGAAATCACAGTATGTTTCTTGGAGTGTCTTTATCATCCACTCGTAGTTCTCAGGAAGTGGCTGAATTCCTTGTATTACGGTTCTAGCCCTTCCTTCGAGACATTCTCTTAAGAGAATTATTTTTTCTATAACTTCTAGTTCATCGCATTCGTGCACTAAAGTCTTATAGACTGCCCAAAATTCGGAGAATTCCTCCGCCTTCCCGTTGAATTTTGGGAGTGAGGCTTGAGGGGGTTTTATTGAGCGGTGCGGTCTAGACCTTGTCACGCTCGGTTCAACCTGGACTGTTATAGGAACACTTTCCTCAGTTTCTAGGCTGACGCTGTTCCGATCGGAGTCGTTCTCGCCACCGCTTTGATGCTCTTGATCGTTAGTTAGCGTAGATCCGCTCCTAACGGACTTGTGCGTGGCGTAGCCAAGTTGTATGGCTAATCTCTCCTCCGCATACTTTGCTTCGCTTAGCCTAGCAGTTAATGTGAATATTAAATCACTTGCTTCAGCTATTATGGGATGGAGTTGGGATTCCTCCTCTATCTCCTCTATTTCTGCAATCAGATCTTTTTTCTCTGTTTTGTTCTTGCAGTTCTTATATTCGTCTCTTACTTCCTTATATAAGGATTGGAGATCTTCTCTGCCCTCTCTCACTTGTTGGATGCTACTTTCTAGAATCGCAACTGATTTCCTACATGTTCCGTAGGTTTCTTCATCAACTGTTAGAAATTCTACACTTTTTGTGTATTCTTTACAGCGAATAGTGAGATTCTTCAGCGTCGATGCGCTAAGAATAACTGGCCTTTTATGAAAGTGAAGAGCCATTGTAATATATGCTGGTTCCAGCTTTTTTGATTGGATTGACAAGGAGGAGTAATAGAACCTTTCCGATTCTATTTAAATGGGATACAAATGTATTTTGGCCGATGTACCAAAAATGTGCCACTTATATTGATGTATGGGCTTTTCGCACCAAAAATGTTGGGTGGTTCAGTGGATTGCTTGTTTATGACCCAATTTCTGAGTGATGGTGCCGGATCCGGACCGATTTCTCAACTGAGAACAATGCAATAGTCAAGTTATAATATTTATTGCAATTACAGGGCAATAA